GCACACATGGGGCAAAGTCTTCTTGCTTTGCAGGCCTGGACTTTGTTGTCTGAATACCACCGTCCAACTCAAAGTTGGAGAGCTCAAAGCTCTGTAGCAACTGGTGTCGTTCTGCAGTTGACTTGCATATGTTCTTGAAGTTCTGATTGCGTGAAGCTATCGTCTTAACATACTGGTGCTTGCCCTCGTAGCGCATGCACCAATATTGCTTCAATGGGCCAAGTTCGTTAATTAGCCTTGGATAATGCACCAAAAAAATGGAGCTTTGGGATCATTTTACCTGGGTAAAGAGTGGCAAAGGCAGTCAAGAAATACCGAATTTCATCTTGCAGACACGCAAGGTGGTCACGTGGAATCTCGTCAGCAAATGCCATGTCTACAACCCTCCTCAGCAGCAGGTACACTTCCCAGTGCACATTCTTCACTGGAACAATGTCTCCGAACATGAGCGAAAAAAACCTGAAGAGACACCACCTCTGAGACGCAGTACCCTTGTAGGCACTTTGCCCATTTAGAAAGCTTTTGCTCATTACCTCAGGCTTATTCTTTTTATCCTGTGTACCGAAACTGAATGTTGTGATGCTATCGAGATCTGAGTACTTGATGATGTTACTGCTGATGAGGCCGCGCAACACCTCTGTGAGCACGTGAGGTATGGACCCTTCAAGTAAGTCATGCATCAGGTCGGGTGGAATCTGTAGTGTCACGTCAAAGTACCCAATACCTAAAAGTGGAGACTCACTTCTTACCCCATAAAGTGCTGTACTTAGAGGCTGATTCACCTTTGCACTTTCGACGTGGCTTCTGTGCAAAGTCTTATTTCGGACTTGCACGTTAATTTCATGGAAAATAGTGCTAAGCTTTGAATACGGTACAGTACAAAATCGGCAGGGATGTCCTCTGTTGAAACAACAGGTGAATCCGCCCAGCCTATTCCTAGAAAGGTTATCGCCACAGAAAGCAACAAGAATTGCTGTGACTTTTAGAGTAGCTGCACCCTTCTGCACAGTGAAACCAGTTGTACTCAAAGCTGACACGTCAGCAACAAGCGGTTTCAAAATTGCATCCATTCCATGCTTGTCAACAAGCTTGTATAGCACAACAAGTGCTACATGGATGGCTCAAAGCTGCGACCTGTATCGGGCGTGGATGTTTATCACACTGAAGTACACAACGAGGATTTTGTGAACTCCACGTTTCGACCCTAAAGGGTTAACAATCTCTACCTCATCACTATACAGCACAAGAAACAAAGTGTACTGTAACCCATTCTGCAAAAGTGCAGACAGTGTTTCCTTGTACACTAAGCCATCACGAAAGCTTCGGAGAATTGGTGATGACTGCCCAGCTGTCAAGTCGTGGTCAAGGTGGTTGCAGAAGCTCTCAGACAGCATTAGGTTCCGCAATACACCAGTTATGGGCACGTACTGGAATGTGTCACCGACATCAAGCACGTGTTCCTCGGGCTTTACGTACGGAAGGTGTTGCTTGGCGAACTGGTCTCTCTGGTACTTGCTCCCTGCAGCTTGAAAAATCTCATCCAGGAAGTCACAAGCAAGCAAGACGCGCAACTCGTTTCCTGCTGACTCAAGGGTGATGTTTTGTTGAATCTGGGCTGCGAACGCGCAAATCATGTCAAGAAAGGTCACCTTGAAGTCGTTGAAGATGCTTTCCGTTGTAGAGTGCGGCAACTTGTGCACCTCAGCTACACGAAAAAAAAGCAAACACAACTGTTTCTTCATTTTCGGGGTGAGGTCATGCACCGTACTAGCAACATGAACGCCAGGAATACAAGTCGCATCGTGTCCGTCGCCGGTAACGTTCAGACGGGGGCCCGAAGAAAACGATTCAGTGTCGTTCCAAGCACTCTCTTGCATCGCAGTGGCGCACGCCGTGACGCCCGCTGGTAGTTCCTCAAGGTCATCTTGTTCGATGTTGTGTGGCTCCTCAGGCATACCGAGATCCATATAGCTCCTGTGTGCTCGATAAATATGCCTCCGGTACGATTCGAACTTCTTATACGTCCTTGCACACCCTTCTACACCGCACATAATTGAGAAATTACTATCGTGGCGATGGTCCCTGAGGTGCCAAACGACCTTGCAAAACTTCGTGGACGAAAACGTACAGCGTGGGCACGTATGCACCATGTTTACTCACGCTACTTGCGGCAACCAGCTCCCGCCAAGACCATACATGCCAGACAATGAACTCAGCGTCGCCGTCGCAGCAACGTGGGGCGGGCTACGCTCTAGGGCGGGCAACGCAGCAGCCAACGTTGGCAGCAGCCTACATCTGTAGGCGAACAATAACAGTGTTGCCTTTGTGCTTATAGTACGATACGTACAACTGGACTAGCGACAAAAACTACAAAAAGTTGTTGAATCGCATCGAAATATAGTTTTCCTCCTGCTACTATTTTCAAGAAATTATGCAGTGCTTTTTTATTTTCTTGCAGAAAGCTGAAACAAAAATGCTCAGAACGCATCTTTAAATAGGTGGCGCACACTATCTTCTTTAAAAACGAAACCTCGCAGCTTTACCTTTAACCTTTGCTCTTTTTTATCTTTGTCCAATTTCAAAAGTTCCTCAAGGTGGTTACTCCACCTGCCCGGTGATAGCTCCAAGGATGTAGAGGCTGTTAACGAATTGTGTAGTCTTTTATCTTTATTAAAAAAGGACGACCAACCAATCCCTAAATCAGGGGCCCAATGTTTCGAAACCGGTTCGGCTTCTTCTTCAGGGCCGATCATGGAGGAAAGGAGCCGCGATCTTCTTTTTCCTCTGTGACGGAGGCGAATGTGCACGATCCCATCTTCTTCCTCTTTGATCGTTTTTTGAAGACACATGGTGGATCCCGTTCACATACACAGATGGCAGTGCGCCAAGAGAGCTATTATGTACCAATGTGCCAATGTCAATGAATGTGCCAATGCCAATGAATGTGCCAAGAGACCTTGGCACATTCAGGCCACGCCAACAAACATTAATATGTCTCTTGGCGCACTGCCATCTGTGTATGTGAACGGGCTCCACCATGTGTCTTCAAAAAACGATCAAAGAGGTAGAAGATGCGATCGTGCACATTCGCCTCCGTCATAGAGGAAAAAGAAGATTGCGGCTCCTAGAGTGCCTTCATACACACGCGCGCTTTTGCTTGAGTGGTGACATCTCAGCCATTTTTCCGCCCAATGTTTTTTTATGCATTTTGAAGTGCGCGCAATCCGGTGTCACTCAGCTCGAGCGCGTAGCTTTGGCTCATGCATACACGCCATTTTACCGCCCAAGGCACGCAACGAGTGCGCGAGAGCGTCACGCGCTCGCACATTCAGGGCAACAATGGATGTCTTCACCCTGAGACAGACAGACATGTAGGCACCCTAGCGGCTCCTTTCCTCCATAGTCGCCCCTGAAGAAGAAGCCGAACCGGTTTCGAAACGTTGGGACCCTGATTTAGGGATTGGTTGGTCGTCCTTTTAGAGCGCAGCTCTTAGGGGCCCGTTCCCGGCTTGAGCGGCGTCGCCGTCGGCGTCGGCGTCGGCGTCGGCGTCGGCGTAACCGCAACCCTCGTAACCCTCGTGAGGGTTACGAGGGTTACTTACCCTCGTAACCCTCACGAGGGTTACGAGGGTTTTTACCCTCAGAAGGGTTACCTTCACAAGGGTTACCCTCACGAGGGTTACTTACCCTTGTAACCCTCACGAGGGTTACGAGGGTTAGTAACCCTCGTGAGGGTAACCCTCGTGAAGGTAACCCTTTTGAGGGTTACGAGGGTTAGTAACCCTCGTGAGGGTAACCTTCACGAGGGTTACTAACCCTCGTAACCCTCAAAAGGGTTACGAGGGTTAGGTTACCCTCGTGAGGGTAACTCTCATAACCCTCGTGACCCTCACGAGGGTTACTTACCCTCGTAACCCTCACGCGGGTTACGAGGGTTAGTAACCCTCGTGAGGGTAACCTTCACGAGGGTTACCCTCACGAGGGTCACGAGGGTTATGAGAGTTAACCTCACGAGGGTCACGAGAGTTACCCTCACGAGGGTCATGAGAGTTACCCTCACGAGGGTCACGAGAGTTGCCCTCACAAGGGTTACTAGGGTTACCCTCACGAGGGTCACGATGGTTACCCAGGTCAAGTGACCCCCCCTGGGGTCACGTGACCTGGGGATACCCCCCGAGGTCACGTGACCCCCCGTTGACGTCATAGCCACTGATGACGTCATCAGTGACGTCACTGATGACGTCACCGGCATCCGCATCGTCATCGTCACTGATGACGTCATCAGTGACGTCACTAATGACGTCACCGGCATCCGCATCGTCATCATCATCACTGATGGCGTCATCAGTGACGCTACTGATGATGTCATCGGTATCGTCACGTGACCCCCCGACGTCACGTGACGCCCCAAGGTCACGTGACTCCCACAAGGTCACGTGACCCCCCGCCCCCCGAGGTCACTTGACCCCCCCCCCCCAGTACCCTTCCCTCCTCCTCCTCAAGAGCTGCGCTCTAATTCGGCGTTACAGGGAGTTGTAAACGGCTTTCATTTTTTTTAATAATCATTTCTCGAACCAGACAGACTTCTGTCTGATGTTTACTTTTAAGTCTTTTATCTTTTTTTTGTTTCCTTGCGGGGGAGGGGGGGGGAGTAATTCTAGGCAAGGTGGAGCAAAGTAACACCCGTTATAAAGGGTAGCGTCAGCATTTATCTATCCATCCATCCTTATTCTCTTATTCTTCAGGGCCGTGTTCAAAATGTACTTGATCCCACGCCGGAGTAAAAGTTTTGTACCTTGGCGTTCGAAAATATACTCGCGTCGAACGCTGCTATAGCTGCGCTGTCTCGTGACATGACCAGTCGGAGCTGGCCGGAGTAACTCGGATCCGCTTGCGCCGCGCGTAGCCCGTGGCGTCAGAAAGGGCCCCCCTGTCCTGCGTGCTGTGGAGCTCTTACACCGTTTGCTTTAGTTTTCTGCTGGCGCACGCGTTGGGCAGCCATGTCGTCGCCGCCAATCCAATGCTTAGTGACGTGGAAAGACAGCAAGAAGATTATTTATGTCAACGGTCAAAACAAAGCGGATGTGGTATTCGCTTTGATGGCGACAGATCTTTGCGATGCTGTGCTCTCCGGCCGGATGGAGGTGAGTTCTTTGCTCTTTTCCATATTAGCTTGAATAAACGAGTTTTTGTGTTAAACGTTCTGCGCACTGAGTACGGATAGCACGAAATTGAATGATGTTCACCATTGTGATCAAAAGTTTCGACGGCGCCGTTTTATGCTTCAAAAAGCGCCTGACGGGTTTTGTTCACCCACGGTCATGAAATACGCGAATTCAGCGTGTACACGAAGCTAGGGTGCCTTCATCTGCGCGTTGCTTGGGGTGATGACATCTGGCCATTTTGTATCGAACGCTTATTTTTATTTTTTGTTCTGAAGCGCGTGAAAGAGCGTGTCCCTGCTCGCGCTCGTGGCGCTGTCTTTGCTACGGTGACAATTTGCTTCCTGCGATTTCTTTGCGTTTTCCCTGTGAGCGTGTGGTGTCGGCATCGGGTGCTACTAAGGTCCATAAAACCTACGTTTTATGGACCTTGCAGTGGGTTACAGATACGAGCCCTTGGTTAAAATAGCTAGTCATATCCCGCGTAGTATATTGTTTAAGGGGCTATATTGCTAATCACGTTAAATACGCGAGGTCCTAAACATCTGCATTCCTTTCAGGTCTACAATGCTCGATTTGATGCATATGTGGACACGTCAGATGACCACATTTTTTGTGATGGGGACAGAATTAGGCTTGTTGGTGATGAGAGTACCGGCGACGAAGGAAACTTGCCACTCAAACGCAGGTAAGTGGGTGAGTTGCAAGCATGGGGCCCAGTCAAATCCGGTGTGGCACCGGCTTCTGCATCTATTCTGTTTTCAGCACAAATGAGGGAGAGATGGTGAGAATGGTTCCGGGCAGCAGCCTTCCTGACGGTCAGCAGCCTGCTTCCAATAAAAGTGATTACAGGCTGCCTCCTGTACCATTGGATGTCAAGGTTGCCATCGACAATGCTGAACTGGGAAAAGTGCCCAGTCGTACGAAATCTAAGATAGTTTCCTGGATAACAAGCCATTTGCTGACAATCAACTGGTAAGTGCGCGCCTGCATTCTCATGTCTCTCGTGTAATAGGGACTGCGTTTTTGGTGTGCCCACAGCTATCCAGGAGGACTTTACGAGACGGCTGCAAAGGCCCTCGTGCAGGAGTATCCCGTGCTAAGGGACACAATCGGCACAGGCTGGGTGAGCACGAGCACAGTTACAGTTACGCAGCAGGTACTGTAAGGAAACACATGTAAAGATGCCTGTTTTTGTCCTAGATTGTCTTTCTGTGCAGCGTGCACTTTAGCCATAGTAATAAACTTTGTGTTACCACACAATTTTAACAAGGAGAAAATATTTATTCACAGGACTCATGGAAAGTGTGTTTTCAATATAAGTTGGGAAATGTGAGAAAGACTCTGGACAGAGTGCCTGCTGTACAAGCAGCAAGGGAGAAATTTGGCAAGCGAAAAAACGTTCAGGACACTGCGGCTACTAAAAGACAGTGTCGTAAGGTGAGTCACAATCTCAGCATTTCAGAGCATTTGAAAATTTGTTATCTGCTTGGACCAGGCGCAGCCTTATTCGCTACAGGGCCCCAGAGACGTTTGTTTTGAAAGTAAAATTTCTAAGGGCTTAACATTGCGGGTATACAATAGGCTTATTATAAGAAAGCAAGTATTAATGGAGCTGGATGGCAATACTGCAGCATGCACTGGCCTCATTTTGATTGTATACTGCTGAAGGCATATTTTAATGACATTTTCTTAGAATCCGAACAAGCTATGTCATCGCCTGAAGTTTAGTGCGAAAATCAGTGCAAGCTAGTACGAGAGCTTCTTAATGTTATTGGTAGTGTTTCTTTCCTGTTAGACTGCAAATGTCCTACTAGACACAGATGTCGAGCTCGACGCATCCGTCATAAACGGACATGTTGACTTCATGACGAGGGAGATGAAACGACGTTCTCCTGACCTACGGAAGCTCGGAGATTCTATGAAAAAGACTCGCTCTTCGAGAAGAAAATGGATTATGGAGACGCAACCATCAACAGCTGATGTACTGAAAAAGTACCCAGCCTTAGCAGACGCTGAAATGGTAAGCACAGCATGAGGCTAGTACTTGTAATGCTTCCAGATACAATGTATGCGCACAAGATTTTATAACTTTCTTAATTAACTCTTTACTCGAATGCTATAAAGTCCGTTTCTATTTAAATTGTATTCCGATAACAGTATTATGTTTTCCTGGGCAATAATCCCATACAAATGCTATTCCCATTATTTTAGCTGCATCAGGAGTTCATTGCCATCACAGGCGTAGATTTGGTGTCAAAGTTGCTGGCATTTCTTAACAAGTACGGGGAGAGATGCCTCTACCTGGTGAAGTCTCGCCGCTGCGCGAAGGAGACGGTGCACGAGCTGGAAGGAGACCTCGAAAAACTGGAAGGAGATGCCAGGAAGTGTATGTGTTGAAGAACCTCCTCCTTGGATTCCTAGTATTGTCTTAACAATGTTGGAACCGTGCTGTTGCTCGTCGTAATTGAAATTTTCTTGCAACAGATTGCTTTGCAGTTGGCATGTTACAGTTATTACCCATGCTGGTAAAGGAACAACCGAGATTTCTAAAAGGACCGGTAAGGAATACCCTCTTCACTTTTTTGCGGTCTAGGTCGTCGCAACTGGGCTGATTTTCATAAATGCAAATGTTACAGGACATCTACCCTGCCCTTCGTTTTGAGGGCTCAAAGGCACACGAGGCCAAAGATAAATTTGCCGTGTTGGAAGGCCTGAATGTGGAGGTCGTCGACATTATTGCTGGTGCCACGACCGTCATGGAGATTTATTGGATCTTCAACATCAAGCACTCAAACCAGAACAAGAACACGTTGGCGCTCCTCGAGCACTTCTGCGGACTTCCAAGCGCACCGCAGGCACCATTGCTGATACGGGCAATTTCTGCCATCGAGAACGTTTGGAACAATGTTGAATGATGTCTAGTGCTGAATAAGTGTCCAGTTCTGAGTGCACACTGATTAAACGTTCAAGAACTAATTATGTTGTGCTGCTTTATTCTTGCTGATGGCTTGCTAAAGAAATTGAGCCATAGCTTTTAGAGTATATATACGTTAAGCTAGTAGTTCCTACTAGGTTTCGCGGATGAGGTCAGTTCCCGTTACTAGCTTATTTGGTTAGTAACTGTTACACTCCCGTTACTAACTGTAGTTACTAAGAGGTTAGTAACATATGTGACAAGCAGTTACTAACCCACGGTTAGTATGTATAACAACCTTTTTTTAAAGAGTGTACGTCTGTCTGCACGTCAAAGCTGTGGGCACCCTGGCGGCTCCCCAGCCAAGTTGCCCGACTGCGAGGCAAAGGTGCCGAAGTTTTCCCGCGTGGCGGCGACGCCACGCCAGCCACGCGCACATCGGATGCGCCGCCTTGATAAGGCAGATCAGAGGCGGCGCACGGAGAGTCGCTGCCTGGACTCCGGCAGCGCCGGTAGCAATGTTAATCGTCTTGTCCATGTCCCATTAAATGTAGTTTCTGGTTGTTGAAACCGTTGGCTCCGTGTTATTCCTCCGGGTCGGGTATGCAGCAAGGCAAACCGACCACAATGGCGCCCAACCGTGGTATGCTACCCACTCGCAGGAATTTCACGGGGCTTGGTTTCTTCTTTCGGTAAGCCTTTTTCATATTCCCCGTGTTTCCTATCGTTGTTTCGTACTTCCGTCACGTCCACGTTTGCTGTATTGGCGTGTTTGTGAATGTGTCTTTGTGACTGGCGGCAATTGTTTTGCGCGCTTGTGTTGGGTTTTTGGGGCGTTTCTTTTTTTTTTGTGCTTGCAGGAATGCTTACGCGACGCAGCACCCGGATGAAAGTCTGGCCCGGTACGTTCGGGTCATGCAGGAGCTCTTCAAGAGGGCGGACCCGAAGTCACCGGAATCGGACAGAGTAGCTCGGGTCAGAAGACAGTGTCACCCCAGGCACCACGTCTACCTGATCAACCGCACCTTTGAGACCCTTAAAGAGCTAGCCCGGGGCGCCCGCCTCATCGAGGAAGCTCTTCATGCCGAGCGGAACTACGTGCCGCCGCCACCAGCCAAGTACACGCTCGAGCCGGCATGCGCATGGCGGGGCCCCGAGGCCTCCACGCAAGTGGACTGTCCGAACGAGACCTCCCTTCCCCACCACGTCAACCAGGAGAGTCGGCGTGGCATGCATGGTGAACTCCCGTGCGGGATAAGCGTATGTTCGCCTAACTCTCCCCGAGAGGTCCCCGGAGGTCACAGCGAGGCCCGTGAGGGTTTCGGGCGGGGGTCGCCACGACAGGTGGGAGGTCGTTGGCCGTGCCCTATCGTAAGCTGGGGCCCAACGGAGATCACCACCCAAGCGAACCATCTTCATCAGTCTGCTCCTGCAAGTGCTGGCGAAAACTGGCACGGTGCGGTCGCAAACCCGCAGCCCAGCAGCATTGACCCCCGCCGCAACGGAACAAGCCCTCCTCACAACAGCCAGTCGCAAGCCTGGTGGAGGCCCTCCCATAGTGGTTCCTTATCCGATCACTGGAGGCAGTCCGACGGGCACCTCGGTGCGGGTGACCTAAGCAGGCAACTGTCGTCGGACTGCTGCTACCACTGCGAGCAGCCCGGCCATCACCGAAACCAGTGTCCAAGACTTCCGGACACTACAAACAAGAGGTGGCACGAGACGGCGGCAAAGGGCCGGAACCAGAACCAGGGAAACTACTACGGCCGGCAACGCTGAAACCAGACAGCCACTCGCCGACGGCCGTTGCAGTCCCTGGGAGCAGTGAGGCCGTGGCACAGATTCCATCGGTATGTCGAATCCAGCCCGAGCCTAATATCATTGAACCGCGCATGACGATTTCACTGCTCGATTTTTCCATTGCCGCACTTTTGGATTCCGGGGCCGCTATCTCGCTCATAGGGGATTTCGTTTTCGAACTCTGCAAAGCAAAAAAGATAAGCCTCAGGGAGTGCGAAACCCGTTTGCAGCTAGCTTCTGGTACAGCGATAACAGCTGGAGGAGCCGTGAGGCTGCAGATTCGGTTTAATGGAAAGAAGCGGCGTCAGCGATTTCTTTATATGCCAGGACTTGTGGTACCTGTGATCTTGGGCCGAGATTTCAGTACAGGCGAAAGCATGACACTCGACTTTTCTGGTGGTGGATACCGGCTGGGACAACAACCGGAGCTGACTCCATTTACCAAAAGGGAGGACTGCATCCCTAACTCGACCACTGCAGCCCACTTCACCACGGTGCCAGACGTCTTGCCTGCCGGCGTTCGAGAATCGTTGCGAAAGTGCCCCGCAAGCAGCCAGCAGAAGCAGGAGCTGCAAGCCGTCCTGGAGTCTTTCTCACCGATGTTCACGGAAACACCTGGAAAGACTGACATTCTGCTGCACCGCATTGAAACCGGTGACGCGCCGCCTCGGAGGTGCAACCCTCGACCGATCAGCGTCCACAAAAGGGCACTCCTTGATGCGGCGCTCGAGGAAATGATCGACACCGGTTCAGTACGTGAGTCGAAGAGCCCCTGGGCATTCCCCGTTGTTCTCGCCCCGAAAAAAGACGGAACAGCCAGACTCTGTGTGGATTACAGGCGGCTTAACGATGTGTCCGTACGAGACAGCTACCCTTTCCCCAGCATTTCCTCTGTGATGTACGCGCTTGGTAACGCGACCGTGTTTACAACGCTGGATTGCAGTCGCGGGTTCCTTCAGATCGAGATTCACCCATCAGACGTTCCAAAAACGGCTTTCATCTGCCACAGAGGGTTGTTCGAGTTCACCCGACTGCCGTTTGGCTTGTCTAACTCTCCAGCCAGTTTTCAACGCCTGATGGATGTTGTACTTGGGAACTCGAAGTACGAATTTGCCATGGCATACATGGATGACGTGGTTGTTTTCTCAAAAACTATCGAAGAGCATGTCGAGCACCTTCGCATTGTACTTGAGCGAATGCGTAATGCTGGGCTCACGATTCATCCCGGAAAGGTTCAGTTAGCCGCGCCCAAGATTAACCTCCTTGGATTCGTTGTGGATAACGGCACGCTCCGCCCCAACGAAGATAAGTTGCGCGCGCTAACGGAATACCCAAGCCCACATGACGTAAAGAGCCTACAAAGATACCTCGGAATGATTGCGTTCTACCGGGATTTCATTCCACACTGTTCCGAGATATCGCAACCGCTCAATCACCTTCTAAAAAAAGGCGTCAAGTGGTGTTGGTCCGAACAACAACAATGCGCATTCGCAGCCCTTTCAAAAGCCGTGACTGACAACGCTTGTTTACAGCTCCCAGACTTGAACAAGCCGTTCGTTCTGCAGACAGATGCAAGCGACTGTGGCCTGGGTGCCGTCTTGCTGCAGGAGTACGGCGGTGTGCTTCGGCCAGTTGCTTTCACGAGCCACACGCTAACTCCAGCCGAGCGCAACTACAGTGTCGCAGAACGTGAATGTCTCGCCATTATTCATGCTTTGAAGCGCTTCGATATGTACCTAGATGGCGCAACGTTCCAGATTCAATCTGATCACTTAGCGCTATCATGGCTAAGGGGGCTTAAGAATCCAGCTGGACGTCTTGCTCGTTGGGCGCTTACGCTACAACAGTACGACTACTCCATTGTGTACCGCCCGGGGTCAACTAACAAAGTTGCTGATGCGCTTTCTCGTGCTCCACTTCCCGAGGAACACTCGCAGGATACCCATGGCTTGGTGACCGTCGCGGCCACGACACGAGGATCCCCAGATTCACGGTGGGGTACATTGGTGAGCCGCGAGGAGCTTCGCAAGGCGCAGCTGGATGACGGACTCTGCCAACGCGTGTCCGCTTGGCTGGCAGCAAGAGGTCCAGTCGACCGCCCAAGTGACGAGGAGTTCGACTCCTACTTGATGAGCGACGACGGCCTCCTGCTACGCTACATCCCCCAGGCCGACGACGATCCGGGTGGCTCGGCGTTTCGGACCGTGATACCCCGCAAGCTACGTAAGCTTTTCATCCGATACATGCATGACTCTGCCTTGGCAGGACACAGCAGTGGGAGCAAGACTTACGAAAAGTTATCCCAAATTGCTACCTGGCCAGGCATGAGGCAGGATGTGCTCCGATACGCTCGTAGCTGCTCGGTGTGCCAGAAGGCAAAACCACGTGGTGGCCAGCCCCCCGGTCTCATGCAACCAATCGCGAGTCAGAGCCCTTGGCAGATTTGTTGCTGTGACGTCATGGGCCCCTTCCCACGTAGTACCCGGGGCAATCAGTACTTGTTCGTGGTAACCGACCACTTCACGAAGTGGGTTGAGTTATTTCCATTGCGGAAGCTAGATTCGCAAAAAATCTGGGAGTGTCTACTCGAAACATTCGCTAGGTTTGGCTTTCCTGCACAGCTTGTAAGCGATAATGCCTCCTATCTCACGAGTAAGGTGTTTGTGGACGCATGCGTGGTACTGGGAATCAAGCACAAAAGAACTTCCCCGTACCACCCGCAAGCAAACATCACGGAAAGGGTAAATCGAAACCTTAAGATGATGCTAGTGGCCTACACCGAGCGCCACAAGGACTGGGACGCGAAACTGCCCGAGCTGGCATTCGCAACCCGTACAACCACTAATCGGTCAACGGGTCTCACTCCTGCCCAATTAAATTTCGGCAAGGAGCTCGCATTCCCGCTTTCTAACAGCCTCCTTTCTACAGAGTCTGGAGGAAGGCCTCGCCCCTACGTGAAGTTCGCAGAGGACCTGCGAAAGCGCTTCTCCGATAACCTTCGAGAGGCCAGAGAAAATCTCGACGTCGCCCGGGTACAGCAGGCTGAACAGTACAACCGGGGGCGACGTGACTTGCAGTTCGAGGTGGGAGATTTTGTACTCCGGCGTACTCACCCACTGAGTGACGCCGCTCGAGGCTTCGCAGCCTCTCTCGCCAACAGGTGGGAAGGTCCGTTTCGCGTGCGTCAAAAGTGCTCGCCAC